GGGCGGAGCCAGTTTTGAGTTCCGATAAGCTCTCCTTTGGGAATCAGAACCGGCGAGGGCGTCTCAGGAAAGGCGACGCCGATCGATCCTCGATGAAGGGCCTTGTTCCCAAAAAAGCAGGCGGGCGAGCTCGGGGGTCTGGCCGAAAGGTAAAAGGCGTCGGGAGACTAAACAAGGAGATTGTTGAACATCCTGCTGCGACGGGGGGAGTGGAGTGATGAAGATCCTGTCAATGTGGCTCCAAAGGTTTCTTCTGGGGTGGATCCAACTGTTGGAAAGGGCGAGGCAGATGAGGAGAGCTCTGGGGCGGACACTCAATTATTTGAGTTACGCCGCCGAAGACCTAACGAGCCCAAGAAGACCCAGCGTGTGGCCAAGTCCAACCGGGTGAGCCAGGTAGTGCAGGCCTTTGAAAAAGGTCTCAACATGGCAAATCCGGGTCTTAATTCTGATATGGGCCAGGCGAGTTTAAATGAGGCCCCCTTGGGTCAGGCGGTGGAGAAAAAACAGGGTGAAGGTACCATGTTCGATGAGTATGGCTCCAACTTGAGTGACCCGGTGGTGGGAAACAAAAAAAGACAGCTGCTGGATATTGACGGGGAGATTGCGGAGTCGCCTACCCAAAAGAAACAATTTATTGAGGAAGTAACTGGATTGGAATCGGTGGAGGAAGCCAGCCGTGAATGCCCCCAGTCAGATAAATGAGGCTTCTGGCCTGGAATGTGAGAGGAATTGGACCATCCGTCACATTCCAAACTACTGTTGGTTGGGTTTTCTCCAATAAACCGGATCTCGTGTTTTTTTCTGAAACTCGATCGAGCCGGCTTGTAGTCACCCGTCGTATGAGGGGTTTAGGATTTGATATTTCTCGTTGTTATTTTGTTGATCAATTGAAGCATCTGGTGGTCTTATTGCTGCTTGGTCCCTCGAAGTTAACGCTTCGGTGTTCTATCATTCCAATTTCTGTATTTGTGTTCAGATTAATGAAGTGGATTTTGCTTACATTGTGGTGTTTGTTTACATTAATTGCAATGCTTCAATTCGTGGCTCCCAATCGGCTCAGCTTCATGATATTTGTGATGCTTTCCATCTTCCCTATGTAGTCATTGGGGACTTTAACGCTACTCTTCATGAGAGTGAGAAAGATGGGGGCCTCACGTGGAATGCGGCTCATTCTGCTAGCCTTCGTGATTTTTTCAAGGAGCATGGCCTTCATGACCCTGGATATCAGGGTGATCACTTTACCTGGACGAATAAATGCTTGGGCACGGCTTGCATTCGTGAAAGACTGGACAGAGCCTTATGTGCCCAGACATGGATTGACCGGTTCTCGGATACTCTAGTGAAACATTTCACGAATCAGGGATCCGATCACCGTGCTTTGCTACTGTCGGATAAACCTTATGCACGGCATAGTCGTCCCCTGTTTCGCTTTGATGCCATATGGGCTGATAACCCGGAAGTCAGGGCTATGGTTCAATATACTTGGCAGGAGGAAATCCAGGGTACTCCTATGTTTCGTCTCTGGGAATGCCTTAAGAAGCTCCGTCACCTGTTGTATGATTGGAGCCGAGCTGGAACCACAAACTCCCTTCGCAATATTAAGAGCCTCCAGGCCGAAATTGATCGGATCAAAGCCCAGTATCCAATTGACTGGGATGAGGTCCGTCGTCTGGAGGAGGAATTGAATAGGCAATGGGAAGCGGAGGAAATTTATTGGCAGCAAAAATCTCGAGTGCCTTGGTTGAAAAAGGGCGATCAAAATTTGGCCTATTTTCATACGATGACCAGGGCTCGTAGAAAAAGGAATTTTGTGGTGGGTTTGCGAAATAACGAGGGTGAATGGATCATGGAGGAGCGTGGGAAGGCTAACATCCTCGATACCTTTTATCAAAACCTGTTTACTTTAGAAAGCCAGGTGGATAATATGACGGATCGGGTGGCTGGCCTGCCTATTCCTCAGAATGTGACGCCGGCAATGAACGCCTATCTCACAACCCCAGTCCTTCCTGAGGAAGTGCGTAAAATAGTTTTCTCCATGGGGTCAAAGCAGGCTCCGGGTTTAGATGGCTTCACGGGGAAATTCTTTAAAGCCTTTTGGGTTATTGTGGGTGGCTCGGTAACTGAGGCAGTCTGCTCGTTTTTTTTTCTACAGGCAGGATGCTCAGGAGCTTTAATCATACATGGCTAACTTTAATTTCCAAAGTTGATAATGTGGAGAATATGACCCACTTACGGCCTATCAGCCAGTGCCAATTTGTTTATAAGATTATAACTAAGATCATGGCTGAACGGCTTGCCGGTTTTCTACCACAAGTCATTTCGGAAGATCAGAATGCGTTTATCTGGGAACGCAAGATTATTGAGAATATCCTCCTCGGGCACGAGTTAATTCACTATTTGATAATCAAAACGCGGGGAAAGAAAGGGTACATGGCTCTGAAGGTTGACATGGAAAAGGCCTATGATAGAGTCGAATGGTCCTTTCTTCTTGCAGTTTTGACGAAAATGGGCTTTAATTCCACCTGGTGCGGATGAATTCATGAATGTCTCCGTTCCTCGTCTTTCTCGGTCTTATGAATGGTACTCCCTTAGGGTATTTCACCCCATCCAGAGGGCTTCGATAGGGTGACCCTTTATCTCCCCTCTTGTTTGTGATTTGTACTGAAGGGTTTGCGGCGATCCATCGAAAGGCTCTATCGGAAAACAAGCTTGGTGGAGTGAAAGTGGCCCCTTGTGCGTCGCAGATCTCACATCTTTTCTTTGTAGATGATTCTTATCTATTCCTGCGAGGTACTCTCTTGGAGTGTGAAAACCTGATCGAGGTTCTGAATAAATATGAGGAACTCAGTGGTCAGCGAGTGAATCTGGAGAAATCGGCCGTTTGCTTCAGTAAGAATATTGTTCCTCAGGATCAGGAGTTCTTAGTAGCGATTCTGGGGGTTGGGGCGGTAGGGGTCCATGAAAAATATTTAGGGTTGCCTACTCTGATTCCCCGATCTAAAATGGCTACCTTCCGATATTTGGAAGACAAGCTGTTGGAACACCTACAGGGATGGAAGCAGCGAACATTATCTTGGGCGGCTAAGAAAACTTTGATTAAATCAATTGCCATGGCCTTGCCGCTGCTAGTGATGTCCTGCTTCAAACTCCCCGTCTCTCTGTGTAGGCTGTTGGATAGGCATGTGGACCGATTTTGGTGGGGAGCGGTGGAGGGCCAGCCCAAGGTTCGTTGGATGTCGCGGCGACAATTGTGTAGGAGTAAACATGAGGGGGAAATGAGCTTTCGCAGATTTGAGCAATTTAATCAAGCCCTGTTAGCAAAAATTGGTTGGCGTATCCTCAATGATCCCCAATCTCTGCTGGCACGGGTCTATAAAGGGAAGTATTTTCCTAATGGTTCTTTCCTTACTGCCTCAGCTCGATCATGTCCCTCGTGGGGGTGGCAGAGCATCCTGTTTGGTCGCCAACTCCTGGAAAAGGGTGTCCGCTGGCAGATTGTGAATGGCCAGTTGGCTTCGCTACTCCACTCCAATTGGATTCCTTGGCTCCAACTTGATTCCCCAAGGTTTAATCCCCGGATTTTGCCGGAAGGGGGTAATCTGCCTGTTGCGGAAGTCATTTGTCAGGGAGAAGGATGTTGGAATGATGCTAAGCTGGGGCAATGGTTTGATCCTCCTACCTGTAAAGCAATTAAAGCTATTCCTCTCCCGAGACAGAATGTGGAGGATAGGTTGATCTGGCATTATGAGCGGGATGGGATTTTATCGGTTAAGTCGGCCAATCACCTTGCTGTCTCCCTAGATAAACGGAGTGGTCGGTGGAGAACCTCGGTCAGTTGGATGGATAAGCCTAGTTGGATTCGAGTTTGGAGAGCTCCTATTCCGCCTAAACTTAAGGTGTTTGTCTGGCATATTTTGAATCGGATCCTCCCTACTACAGAAGCTCTCCTTGAGAAGAAAGTTCCGGTGCTTCCTCGTTGCTCGGTTTGTTGGGATGCACCTGAAACAATGGAACATTTGTTCCTCTATTGTCCGGTGGCCCGCGCTCTTTGGGACTATTCTGGGTTGGAGTACCTCGGTGAGGGGCTGCCTCGAGAAACTTTTCCTTTATTCCTTAAAAGGCTGTTGTCCTTAATTCATCAGCCAGATCTGGTCATGGCGGTTGTAGCCATCCTTTGGCGAATCTGGCGGTCTCGGAACTGGGTTGTCTTTGAAGGCAAACAGTATGGGATCCCGGCTCTTATGCGCCAGTTTAACCAGCAGTATGAGGAATGAATAAGGTTGCCGAGAAGTCATGATCGCCTGACCTTGCGCCCAATGGTACATCAGCCGGTGCCAGTCGATCCGGGCATGGTTGTTTGTATGTGGGATGGGGCTATGAGGTGTGGATGTCATGCGGCAGGGGGATGGTACTTTTGAATCCGGCTCGGGAGATCTTACTGGCTAAAGGTGTTCAGTTTCCGGAAATTGATGACCCTGCGGTGGTGGAACTGCTAGTCCGCCGCGAGGCACTGTTGTGGTGCGTGGAGTATGGCTTCGCGGTGGTCCGATTTGAGGGTGATGCCAAGGTGATTATTGATAAGATCAGGCAAGGAGATACCAGTGATAACCAGATGGGGGCTGTTCTTCATGAAGTAGTACAATGTTTTGCTGCCCATCCAGGGTTTAGTGTTCGATTCATAGGTCGACGTTATAACAAGGTAGCTCATGTGGTAGCTAGAAAGACCCTTTCCTTGTACCCGATTTTGTGTCGTTTCTTTGATTTTCATACCTGCCTGAATTCCAGGGTGTAACTTTCTTTTATCAATTATTACAAGATTATCTTTTGTAAAAAAAAATAAATTAGCTGAATTCCAGAATGTAACTTTCTTTTATCAATCATTACAAGATTATCTTTTGTAAAAAAAAAATTCATGATGATTATTAAGAACTGGTGTGACTGAACTAGGAACTTCATTGCAACTTATGTACTCCAACGTCATTAACCCTGAACCCACACACCTCTACGATCCGAACAAATGTGTCGGACATGAATTTGTCGTGAAACCAGAAAAAAGGCAGAAATAGAAATTTCTGGTTACGGTTGAGCGTCAAAGTATTGTCCGGAGCAAAAAAGAATTCGTCGTGTTTCAGAGTTCTCTCTCGCGCCCTCCATTTTGACTCTTCAATTGAGAGTCGATCGATTTCGTGGGTCGGTCGATTTTTCTCCTTCATCACCCGATCTCTCATCTTTCAAGGTCAGTCGGCCGACTTTGGATCTCAGTTCTTCTCGATCCGATTTCCATCTTGTTGTTCATTTTCGCTTCGATCTGATTTTGAGGAGGGGGTGGTTGTGGATACACCGTGCTTAGGAAGGAATGTATCAAATTGGGATTCCTTGTTTTTGGGGTTGTTGATGATACGATCTTGAATTCTATGGATTGATTGCGGGATTGAAGGAATTTGATTTTCGAGAAACTCGATTATATGCCCGATCTGGATGCGAAAGATCAAAGATCGCAATTACGATGGTCTAATTGGAGATCTGACGATTTTTTTTGTTTTGAATTTGTGACAAATTTCCCTAATCGTAATTTGTTCACTTCATTTATCTTCTCCAAATCTATTAAGTCTTTGGAAAATCTAAATTTCATTCATTTTTTTCCTGGTCTTCTGTTTTGGGTTTTTTATTTTGGGTAACTTGATTCTGTTGAAGAAATGGGTTCCAGATATGGAGGGATTTCTGGGTTCATGAATAAGACGACCATTCCGTTTGGGGTGTTGATTTTGCTATTGTGTGTGAGTTATAGGGAAGCTTGGATTTCGGTTTTCTCCAGAAATGGCTAGTGGGTTTGGGGAATCAACCAGCAGGCCGCCCCAAAGCCCCTCGTTTGCTAGCAGCAGCAACAACAGCAATGGAGATGCAGGCAACTTCGAATGCAATATCTGCTTTGAATTAGCTCAGGATCCTATCGTAACTCTGTGTGGTCATCTCTTCTGTTGGCCATGTCTCTACAAATGGCTACATTTCCACTCTCAGTGTCGGGAGTGTCCTGTTTGTAAGGCTTTGGTTGAGGAGGAAAAGCTGGTTCCTTTGTATGGTAGAGGGAAGACATCTACTGACCCGAGATCAAAGTCCATACCTGGTGTTAATATCCCAAACCGTCCAGCTGGGCAGAGGCCCGAAACGGCTCCTCCACCAGAGCCGAATAATCATTTTGCTCAGCATGGGTTTGGGTTCATGGGAGGTTTCGCACCTATGGCGACTGCGAGGTTTGGGAGTTTTACTCTTTCTGCAGCATTTGCTGGCCTCATCCCTTCACTCTTCAATCTACCTGGTCATGGGTTTCCAGATGCTGCTATGTATGGTGCTGCTAGTGGTTTTCCTTATGGGTTCACTAATTCGTTCCATGGTGGCCATGCGCATATGTATCCACCAGATCATGGACAAGGCCAACAAGATGTCAATCTCAAAAGGCTGCTTTTCTTAATTGCTTTCTGTGTTCTCCTTGCTCTGCTCTGGAATTAGAAATAAATATATGTCCATGATAGCTTAATTGCTAACAGGTGCTGCTAGGTTGTCAGCTACTTTGCCCATGTAACTCTTTTAGTCTGTTTTTCTGATTCAGAAAATCCCCACCCACCTTTACTCTTGTGCGAAGGCAAAAATGTCCATAAGTGCTTTGTTTACTACTCTTGTAGCTCCTTCCCTTTTTCTCTTGCACCAAGTATGTGGAGTGCAGATCACTGTTATTTCTTCAGCTTCCATTATGTTGTACGGTGTTTGGATGTATCATGATGGCGGAGCCAAATGTTTGTGGCTTTTGTAAATTCATTTTTCATTTTCATGATATGCTGATTACTTAGGACCTCCCTTGTGAGGTGTCTTCTTTTTTCTTTGCTGCTATGTTATGAATTTCAATCTGGTGCATCTTCCTCCCTTGATGCATACAAGATAACTGGTGCTTTAGCTTACTTTGGCTCTATACTTTAGAGACTATCTTTTGCGACTATCGGCTTTCATCTTTTTCCTTGCTTCATGGGTTTTGTGGTTATTGCATATTCACATTCCTATCACAGGATGATCCACGATAATGTCTTCTCATAATTAGGGCTCCTATACATTTGTGCACATTGTCATTTAGTTTTCAGTTTTTCCACTTACGGTTGTACAAGTACAGGAAGCCTATTGCTCTTTTGAGGAAGGATGAACATTATTGTCTCCTCACAGACCAAGAGAAGGTATTTGCCGAGTTATTTCCGGCTTTCTTCAGACTCCCAAAAATATCTTCCTGTGACAGAAGTTGGGCTGTAAATGGAAGTGTTAGCAGGATTTGAGCCAGACGGAGTAGCCAAGATCAGGTTAGTAGTCATCTTTTACTGCCTTTATAACTGTTTAGGGACACACTACACATGAGTAAGTGGAACAGATTTGTACTATTGTAGGGTCCAAAAAAGATAGTGCTAGTTGCTTATCATTGTAGTACCATTTTCATATGCTTGAATTGTCTGCTAGCTATTGAATCTTTCAGTTTTGGCGAGTGCCTTTTCTTTTGTCTCACTTTCTGCAAAAACTTCAGCAGCAGTAGAGCATTGAAGACTTGTAATGAAATAATTCATGATTCGCCACTTACTGTGAAGATACCCTTACAATTTAGGGGGAGTGGCCCCCGTTTGATCTGGATTTTTTCTTCGTTCAGCACATGGGTTGTTACCTGGGTTGAAATATTGGTATTTGTAGTTGGATTGGATGTCAACAACAGAAAACAGTCCCTACTTTGCTTTTACAACTATTATTATTGGGAATCTTTGATCCTAGATAGGCTTCCATGTTGCAGTATGGAGGATTGCTGGCTTCCTCTTTCAAGTGGGACTTTGCTATGGTGCTGCAAAATCTTGAGTGCCTACCAGAGAGCAGCAGCATTCCCACTGGATTTCTTTTGGTCTATTTAATAAGTCGCTACTTGACAACTTGAAGGTTCTTTTAACTCTTGATTTACCATATTCTTCTTCCAACGTTTTGAGGTGAATCATATGCTTTGCTGCGAGGAGCTAAATGTGCATTTTGCTTGGAGTTGATGAATGAAACTGTTGTTGTAAGCAAGCACTCGGAGGTATTGGATGGGTGTATGTTGGGTCGAGCTCGAGCTGATCAATCGGTTTATTGTGTACCCGGTTGTTTAGACAAAACCGCGAGTCAGATTGTGTTATATGGCTGAATCAAGTCATAAAAACCTGTTAACATAATTGGCCCAACGACGCAAATGACAAGGCGACTAGAATTGGGTTGATCCGTCTAGACGACAGAAGGATTGCTAGCTAGGTTGGTAGTGTAGCAATGTTTCCTTTTTAGTTGGATTCTGGGCTTGACTTCAAATCGCATTTTAACCATATTGTCATGTAATGTTGCTGCTTTGTACATCTTTTTTTTTTTTTTAATATAAAACTAACCATATGGTTATTTGCAACATTTTCCATGTCACCACCTTACTTATGACGTGGAGAGTTAACCAGATTGTCATGTAGGGGTCGTTTGGAGAATATGAGTTTAAATCTATAGATTGTCAACAATCTAAAGATTCTAACTCTTTCGATTGTTAAAAATAGATTTTAAAATGTTTATTGTTTGGTAAATGTGATTGTTAACATTCAATGAAAATAAAAAGTTATTTTTATATTAAATAACGTGTTTATCCTTAATAAAATATTAGAGTTGTTCGAGAAATATTAAAAATTTTGTTGATAAATATATTTAATATGATAAATAAATAAAACAAAGAGAAAAGGTAGGAGGAAAAAATCTCACGAATCAAGATATAGAATCTCTCTGATTATGAGAGATTTGATATCCGTAGATTTTAGAGATTTGAAATCTCTAAAACTCAAATGCACAATACAAAAAACAACAAAAAAACATAACTTTCTACAAAATCTACGGATTCAATGAATTCACGCACTAAATCTCATTCTCCAAACGACCCCGTAATGTTTGCTGCTACAATACTGGAGAGGTACGATTATGACACGGAAAGGTCCTCTGGATTGAATTTGAAGGAGTCGTCGTTATCATGCATGTGTGTCTAATGTGAAAACATATATGAACCCTCTAAGTCTCAATGGTTGCTTATTGAAGTGGACTGAGAGAGATTGAGAGATGTATGTATAAGAGAGACTCTTCTTTTAACAGTTATCTGATGACCGTTTATTGGCTACATATTTGACATTTTTATTAGGGCCAGACATGTGCATCAGTGCATGCATGGACTATTTTTAGCTACTTTATTTTTTCTGGTTATGTCTTTTTTTTTGTGAATTATTTTTCTCTTCATGTCATTTTGAACGAGGTTCGCACACGCCCTATCAATCGATTGATCATTCGTCGGTAGGAACGAGATCGAGACTTGAAGAAAAATTTGTTACAAACATTGGCGTTTGGGAAAGATCAAAGTTGTCAGCCTGAGGGTTTATTCGTTGGTTGATCTAATTTGATCATGACCCGGTGAGTAAAACGAGCCACACATCCGTCGGGTCGACCCACTACAAGGTTACTGGATTGGAGGTCACACGATGTCATTTTCCCTTTGATTTGAGAATTGCACCTATTTTTCGGATTTTCTCTTCGTCTAACTCCATTTTTGGAACTCTAAGTTGAAATTTTGAATATTGATGTTATATAAATGTGTGTGAATTTTCAATATATGTTGGATTCAAGTATCACATGTTAATTTAGTATAATGTTATATGTTATTACTCATACTAGTTTTCATTTCCCGCGCTCTACGCCGGGAGTTGAACAAAACAAAAGGCATTTAATTAGGTACAGGTGTGTTATACATAAACTGGTTACCTATTAAGCCCATGGTTACATAGTCCAAATAAAGGCGTTCATTATACATTTGTATAGCATATGTTTACACAAACGTCGACCAAATCATGGTCGTAACTCGTAATTCATGAGCATACTCATAACTATATGAAAACCATTATAAAGACCAACAATTCCTGAAAAGCAACAAAAAAATGTGTCCAGCACAAACAAACATCACATATTTACACGACTTAAACCAACAGGTTCAAAGTTCATACTCGAGCATCCATTTACTGATTACAATTGGGTACATCAGTTATTAAATATAACCATAAAACTTGGCAGAGAACATGTAAACTTTCCATTCAAAACAACGAAGAACTTTCTCTACCATTGAAAGAAGGAATGAAAAGCTTTCTCTAAATAGTTATCAACCAAGTATGGAACAAACCTACAACCCACTTTTGGCCAAACACAGGGATCACAACCTAATTCCTCAAGTATCTTTACATGATACACAACCACCACCAGCCCTATTAAAGAACGCAAAGAGATTATATGAGCAAACTACAGAACCATCAATTAACCATGAGAAGGAAGATGTAACGAGTTTGAGGGACAGTCCATTACGATAACTCTTGGTTGTTAGAAGATTTTGCCACCAGAGGCAGAGTTGCATTTCCTTTCAACGGGAGCACAACAGAACTAAACAGTACTGTCAACTGCTTGAAATGAACTTTAGATGACAAAAAGGATATGAGCTGAGTAATCATAAATCATCTCAGAACAAAATCTGTAAATAACAAAAAATAAACTAAGGGCTCTGCCCAAGAATAAACTGGTAAGGCTTGGAAAGGAAAGATTGGATATACTACGTACCATTTGCTACTGATCTTAGCTATAGGCGGCCATATTCATTCCTGAAATTACCAAGCTCTATCAGTAAAGGAAATAATAATAGGAATAAAAGGAAACTTAAAGAAATTGAACCCATTAGTGTCCTGGTCACCCTGGGACTTCCGTTACCTAAACCATCACCACCCAAACCATCACCAATGACATATCCATCTTCTCCACGCCGTAAGTTCCACCGCACAAAATCTGAGAGGAATCTGAACCCGATCAAGAAGAGGAAAAGGCAAACAAATCCATTGAGATAAGCACTCACGTCGAGATTAATATGAAAGAAAAGAGATCCGAAAGACAGAACAACCTAAACAGTTTAGCGGTGGAGAGAGAACAATTCAACAGACAGAGAGAGTGTGTGAAAAAAGAAACAGAAGTACCAAGAGCTTACCACTCGATTCCTAGAACAAACAACAAAATCAAACATATAATGCAAAGAAACAGAGCGGCAAGATACTTTCCAGCAAGCACAGCGTCATTGAGACTCTCCGGCAAAGGCTACGTGACAGATCAACTAAACGCATGGACAATGAGGAGAATGCTTCATAAACACCACTGAGCAGGGGAAACAAAAGATAACCAGAGTAAGGTGTGGAGACACTGAATAGTGATGGATGGGAGGAAGCTAGAAACCTCTCCCGAAATCCATTTTTGAAGGCTCCTATGCATCACTTCAGTTTCTCGATAGATTTCCCTTGAAATCCAAACAATCCTGTCCTATTTTTGGTCTCTAACATGGATCCAACAACTACCGCCGGCCAACGAAATCTCTACCAGGAACTCGTCGCCTGTATTTCTTCATAAAAGAGAGAAAAAGGAATTACAAAATAAGCCTGGAAAAACTAAACACCACAGACAAGAAACAAAGAAAAACCATTAATGGCCCACCTTATAACGTCATGGTTCGCAAATCTGGTTCCCCTGTGTCGTGGATATCGGCTCCCCCGCCGTAGGTACGTACAACTTTGATCAACACTCCAAGAGGTGCTCAAAGAGGTGCACATTAGCAGTCGTCACTTCTCACAATCCCACCTGAAAATGCATCAAAACAGGAATCGGGTACAACCAGATCAGTGAGGGTCAACGCCGATGAGAAGAACCAAGAAACCAAGCCAAAGAAACCACACATGCAACCACCAGTCCCATCCCAACCAAGACACCATACTCCATCAGATTCCAATGTTCTCAACTAAGAAACCATGAAACTTAGTTTGATGAGGCACGACCAGACCCAGAAAGCAAATACGAACGAAGAAATACACGATCGCTTACCGATGGAATATTGCAAGGAACACTTTCCGAATTGACCTTTTCTCCGCTCTGATCATCTGGATTCGATTCACCCTAGCGAGTAGCTAAACTGGAAGAATCCTCTACCACAGATGGCGCCCTGAATCCTCAAATCAACCCAAAACTCAACAAAAGACAATAGTCGATCTGCCTAGAGAGTGAGAGATTAGAAGGAAGTTGAGAGAGAAACAATATTCATCGAGATTTCAGAGATAGAGAGAGAATTCAAAAATAAAAAATGGGAAGAATGCATAGAGACAGAGCTGGCTATTTTATCTCGTCTCTCACCTCCTCCTAAAAAGCTAAGCTCTTCTCCCAACCACACAATCGATGATAGTCCACAACTAAGACCCCTCTCTGATGCTTCTCGGAAATCGAAAGGGCAATTGGATACAGCTAGATCCCTATCCCCTCTCGACTAATTGATCGGAAGAGGCTCCCTCCTGCTTCCTGACGCCTGACTTAGCTTCTCTCATCAGTCCCCTCAATTACCTTTCCAGATTCAGAAAGTATGCCCAGTCTACATCATCAAGACATACCTCTCTTCTCCCATACCTCCCTTCTCTCTCAGCCTCTGAAACCGGCACGACTCCCACCTCTCAACCGCTCCACACCTCAAAGACCCTGACCTTGCCCTAAGCCACTTGCAGAGCCACTGAGCAGCACGGCTCCTTTCAATCAACCCTTTCAGTCCCCCCATGGCCCACTACCTCTGAGTCTCCCACCCACAAAACCGTCGATCGCTTGCAAAGACCCTGACACAGCTGCCAAGGAAAATAGACCGGCCGCCGCCTGAAATCCATCCAATCAAGCAACTGTGCAGGCTCCAGTCACCGAGAGGGCTCTGATGACCAACGCGTTCGTGGACCACAACCGATCCAGCAGACCAAAACAGCCCAACGACCAAGTTCCATCCCACTAACGAAAAACCCTCGATCCGCGTGCCCGCTCGGGCCAAAGTCAAATATCGATCTCTGATGACCAACGCGCGTCGGGGCCACCAAACGACCCAAAGAAGGGCAACCAGAAGGCAACGACCAGTCCCACCCCGACCGAGCCCCCAAACTCCGTCAGATCCCAATGAGGCCTCACCCAACAACAGCCCACACGCCAGCCCACGCCAGTTTGAAACAGTAAATCTCAGTCACGTTGTACAGTAAAAGGTGTCTGCGTGTACAGTACACGGGCATGCGGCGGGTTTCTTTCTTTCAATGTTAGATGAGATTTGATATAATTTATAAATGTATGAATAATATAATAATTTGTTTCATATATTCAGATTAAACCAAACTAAGCGGGTGGACCATTAACCCTCAACTCACTTGCTCAATCGGACCAATGAATAAACCCGGTTGAAAACTTGGAGAAGACCTTCCAACAACCAGCGGCGGATCCAGCGGGTGGCTACCCCGAGCCAAGGCCCAGCCCTTCGCTTGGTTCGGAGCTAGTATAG